AACTGAATACCTCCCAAGACCCACAACCCTTCACAACAGGTTCAGCAAGGAGCCAGCCAACGGTCAGCCACGCCCACTTCCCCCTCCTCCTGAGTCAAGCCCTGGTTTTTGTTCACTAGCTGAAAACAGGAAGCTGGAGAATGGGGAGTTTCTTGAAATTCTTGTTTGTCATAACTACTGTCTTGTGCTGAACATGGTCATTTGGGACCAAGACAACCAGCTGTCAGATCTCATTAGAGAAACAAGGAACCCAGTGACCTCGGGGCACATCACAGCCTCTTTTGACCAGCTCATAAAAGTGCCATTTGGTTTGGGACCATGCAGGTGTTACCTTTTAAAAGGCAGGAATGATATATATGTACTGGGGGCAGAACCCAGGGGCACTCTATCACTGAGCCACTTCCCTGATTCTTTACAGTTTTTAAAAATTTTGAGCCAGTTAAGTTGCTGCGGCTAGCTTCAACCTTGTGATCTTCCTGCCTTGGCCTCCTGAGCCACCGGGATTAGGGGCATGCACAGTTGCACCCAGCTAAGAGGGATCTTAATAAGCAAAGGGTAAAATGAACAAAGGAAGTCTGCCTTAGGGAAACACTGGCACACAATGACAAATGCTGGCACACTGGGGCTCCCCAGCTGCCTAAAGCTCAGTTCAGAGGCTCCCTGCTTGGCATTCAAGACCTCAGACCATCTCTGACTGCTGCTGGCATCTTGGAACATGCACCACTCTCTCTACCTCAGCCTACTTTCTGTGGCTTCTATCTCACATGGGTCTATTTGTCTTCCTAACTGTAACTGAAGTTCTAAGGGGCAGGAGCCATGTCTTATATATTTTTATTTCCCTAGCTTTCAGCACAATGCTGGGCACAAAGTGGCTAATACATACACATACACACAAACACACACTTTTTTGGTACTAGGGATTGAATCCAGGGCCACTTTACCACTGATCTACATCTGCAGCTCTTTCGATTTTCAGGCAGGGTCTCACTAAGTTGCTTAGCATCTTACCAAGTTGCTGAGGTTGGCCTCAAAGTTACAATCCTCCTRTCTCAGCCTCCCAAGTCACTGGGATTATAGGTATGTACCACTGTGCTCAGCTCTAATATTTTGTACATTAAAATTCCAAGACTGAGCACCCACCCACATTTCTTTCTGTCCATCAGTAAAAGAGCCCTTGGAATGCTTGCTGCCTTTTAAATGTCATCTTTAGCTACGGGTAACTAACAAAACTTGTTCCTGCTTTTGGGGGTCTAATTTTAACCTATCTGTGGGGCTTCACAAAGTATTCCAGACATCAAAAGGAGAAACAGAGTTTGGGGAAAACCGCTGAGGATAAAATGTGGACTCAGCAGCAGCTTCCAGCCTGCCCTTGGCCCTGTGGTTTCAGTTTGGCCCAGGATCCTGTTCTCAACTGCTACGTGACACTGCTCAGTCCCTGTGTGAAGGAAAAAGTGCTTGCGTTTGAGATCTTAAGGTGGGACTCCCTGACTGAGGAAGAGGAAAAAGATACAAAGTGGTGCAAGAAAAAAGCACAGAAAAACTTTTGGGATGAATTTTTATTTGGGCTTCTCACAGTGGTTAGAGCCACTCTGTCTTCAGAACAATCACAGCACAGGAAATGCGTCACTGAGACTGCCCAGAAAAATCTGACCAGCTGAATCTTATTGCTTAAAATACACATATTCACAATAACTGACAAATGGTGATGTGCCTCACACAGGAATGTGTTAGCATTTGCAAATCTTCC